CCCCAAAACCCCAAAACCCCAAAACCCCAAAACCCCAAAACCCCATGTTGAGAAGTTAATAAAATTTGCTAAACATGTTTAAATAATAAGAAAATAAATAAAATCAGACTAAATCTAGAATTTAAATCTAAAATAAGTGTACTAATTTGAAAAGTTCACATACTAGGGCTCAATCATTAAATCATATCAAATTTCTTCTATTTGCTAAACATTTTCTCAAGATCAGTAAGTTTTGTCCCAGAAAATCTTTTAAGAGATGCTTTGCAATTAAACTGCTTCGATTTAGATTAATTAATCTTTTTCTTTTAGTTAGGGATATGCTTGAATAGTATCATAGGCTTTGTTTGCAATTAGATAAAATTAATCACTTGATTCTTATAATAATTCTACTTATGATCCTCCTTAATTTTCTTTATAGCGCTTATTAAAGTAAGCTAGCTTATTTGAAGTAGTAGATTATACGCTAGTACAAATGCAGGGTAATGGCTACCAACAGAATCATCTAAATTATGTTTTTTATTTTCAATGTAGTCAGTTGTTAGGACTTGCTTAGAAAAATAATGACAGAAAAAATAGGCATATAACTCCGTTGTTATCAAGTTATATAGCTTCTCTAAGGAAAATAAATAAAGTGATTCATGAAACATTTTCATCTTAGTGTCAGAAATCATACTGATTTTTACTTTACAATCTATTGCTTGCTATTTTTTATTGACATCATGATATTAATCTGAATCAGTGACTAGGGATTTATACATTTCCTTTGGATATATCAAGCATCCAAAGAAAAATATTAGATCATTTGGAATCTATTGAGTCTCATCATTCATTATCCAATTTTGATCTTAGAATTTGGAACAGAGCTCAGGAAATCTGTATTTTAGATATACTGCAATTTGACGAATAAAAAATTGTTTTTCTCGACGATTTTTTATTAAGATAAATCCAGTGACAGCATTAAAGTCCTTTGAATAAAATTTTCTCATATCTCTTGATATAGACTTGTATAAAATATCACTTCTCAGATATCGATTCCCTTTTTCATCATAAGATTAGAAATTTTTTTCACTTGATGGGTTTATATAAAGAAATTCTTTATCTCTATTGTCAGATAACACGAGACTTCCCTTTCTTCTATAATCTGGAATTTAGTCAAGCAAATTTTGTCTGATTCTTCTAATTTTTTCTTCTGTATTATAATCAAGTTTTTGATTAGTTTTTGGAGTCGCCTTTTCCTCTTTGATTGTTTATTTCATCAAGCTTATCTTCATTGGATTATGTTATGGAATAAGATAGTAGGTTTCCTTGAAATTAGAAATGGCGTTCTTGTTAGTTAAAATTTAAATTCCGCACATTGAATGTCCTCTGTCATTCTCGATCAAATCTTTTTTTAGATTACGATCTTTTTTCTGATGATCAGCTTGCAGAAAGTATTGGGCTTTTTCATCTTAAAAGTTATGATTAGCTTGGAAATTCATGTTAGTTCTTTCTTATTTCATTAGAGGAAGTAATGATTAACTTTGGATTAAGAATGTTTAATTTGATTCTAGTTGAAACATTAGCTATGTTGAATAAAATACACTTAAGTTTATAAACTTATAATATAATAAGACGTAAAAATTAAGAAATTTACATTTATTTGACTATTTACTACACTTATTTTGAAGCCATGGGGTTTTGGGGTTTTGGGGTTTTG